GGAAAGAGAAAATTAAATAGACATTTATGCACATTTTAATAGCTAACTTTTTTTATGCGGAAAAAAAATAGTACAAAATGATTGCTACGGATTATTTTGGAAGGCATTTGTTTCTGTTTTCAATGAGAGATTATTCCATCAAGATTGCGTCCGAAGTCCAATAAGCACTTGAGACGTGACAAATGAGCCCCACTATAATACACTTGTTGGGTAGGTATATGTCTGAAGGACTCTGGACGTAAATTTTATGTATGTTGTCGTGTTGGAATAATTTATTCGTTTTCAAGACAATTATGACTATGCTTTTGTAGCGAATGATTGTTTGTTAATTCAGAAGAAAAACGAATATTATTTTGCAATTTAAGTGCTTCTAATTCTATAAATATATATTTAAAATTAATTGAGTATCAAAATATGAATTTTATATTCATGTATTCATTTTAAATGTAAAAAAATATTAAGAATAAGATGGAAATACCTACAATTTTTTGGTATGTAATCCTCTTTTAAAACAAGTTCAATGATTTTAAGCTTGTAATCAAGGTTGTGAAAATTGAATTGAACATCGAACCAAAAGAAGGAAATGTTCAAAATTCAATGGTTCAACTAAGGTTAATAGAATGACATGATAAACATTTAAATTATTTTAATATAACTTTGATAATAGAATATTGATGCAACGATATCAATTTTATCTATTTAATAAAAAAAAAAATTAATTTGAGACAACTTTGAATATTTTAAATAATATTCAAAAAAAAAAATTAAGACATAATATTTTAATTTTTTTATTTTAAATATCTATTTATGGTCATTCGAACACTGTCATTGCTGGGTCCCATGGCTCAAATGTGAAAAGTGGATGATTGATTTAAGTAGTCGACAACAAGCGTATGTTTTTTTGTTAAAATGTCATGACATGAATCTTTTAAATCATCTTACAAAGGTTAGGGTGTTCCTTCGAAGTGATGTGGTGTATGGACTGAATACATATGGCGAAAAGTGTCCAAGGACAGCTATACAGATGATATACATCCAGTGGATGATATACTTCCAGTGGATACAATCAGAGAAAGAGTTCAGGAAAAACTTGAATTATGGAGGTGAGTCTAAAGGCGTCTGTTTAAGTAAATCTAAAACTGAATACATGAAATGCAATTTTAGTAGTAGTAGATATAGTGACAAAGTTGTAACTGGGTAATCAAATCTTTAAATTTGTGAACTTTTTAGATATACTGGGTCCATTGTTCAAAGTGATGGTGATATATAAGAGCATGTTATTAGTAGAATTCAAGTTGGGTGGTTGAACTGGAGGAATGCATGGATCCTATTTTGTGATAGAAAAGTATTGCTTAAACTTAAGGAAAAAGTTTATAAGATGGTGGTGAGACCTGCAATGCTTTATTGTGCAAAATGTTGGTCTTTAAAAGAGAAACATAAAACTAAGTTCAGTGTTGATGAGATGAGAATGCTTAGGTGGATAAGTGCCTTAAGTATAGAAAGACAAAATGCAAAATAAATGTATTCGTGAGAGAATTGGTGTAGCTACAGTGACAGGCAAGATTAGAGAGAAATGTCTTAGATTGTTTAGTCACACTAAATGTCGACCATCTAATAATCCGGTTGAGAGAGTAAATGTTTTAGATTTGACTTATGTATAGAAAGACAGAGGCAAACCTAAAAAGATTAGGGCATATCATATAAAAAATGATCTTAATTTATTAGATTGAAATGAATATATGACACTCAATAGCACACGATGGAGAAAAAAGATTCATGTAGCTGACTTTACTTACGGGATAAAGGCTTGTTTTTTATTTTGTATTTATGGTCGTCCAATCAAAATTAAAAGTCTAAAATTGGACAATATTATTTGAATCGACCGATTCTTTAGAAACCAAACCGGCTCGCCAATTCAAACCTGGTTCTAACCAGTTCAAAAAAGAATTAAGCATATTGTATAAAAAATAATCTTAATTTATTAGATCTAAATGAAAATATGACACTCAATAGGACTCAATGGAGAAAAAAGGATTCATGTAGACGTCCATACTTAGTAGGATAAAGTCTTTTTCTTCTTGTTGTTGTATTTATGATCAACCAATCAAAATCAAAAGTCTAAAATCGCACAATATTTGAACCTACAAATTCCTTAGAAACCGACCGATTGGTTCGCCGGTTCAAGCCCGGTCATAACAAGTTCAATCTCGGTTTAAACCAGAAGCAGTTCTACTACGCTTGAACCGAACCGACTGAAAGACCGAATCACAGTTGATTCGGTCAAATCGGCCGATCCAGTCTGATTTCTAAAACCACGCTTATAATCACTGTAGATTTTTCCTTCAACCTTAATGCCAACAAGGAGATATACTTCTGAAAAACTAAAATATCCAAGAAAATCACCTGAATTTCACCCGTCTTGATTTTGTGAACAGTCCCAACATCTATAACAGGCGATTTACCCAAGGTGGCCTTGAGGAAAAATGGCCCATCCTTCGGTCTAATGATCCCAAACTTGGACAGATCTCCATACCGAAGCTCGCTGAGGAAAACGCAGAACTTATCAACAATCCACAGCGGCATCTTACGATCCAAAAGAACCATTCCCCAATAAATCATCTCCTTGCTCATCACGTGGAACTGCAACATGGCTTTAGTTGGATAAATTAAACACGCATTAAGAAACTAATTGAGCACATGCTCCATGTTCAAATCATAGCAAATAAATATAATAGTGTACATTTTTATCCTAATACTTATCAATTAAAAGGGAGCAAGATATACTTAAATTGATTAATTCCCCTTAAGTCTATGTTGTTTATGAGCAAGAAAAATACTGAATGAACACTCATGATATACGTATAATAAAAAGAAATAGGAAATATTGAAGATATTTGACAGAGGTACCATATAGAGTTGATCAACCATGCAATCATATATTATATATAGAAACTCCACACCATCTTATAGTTTCCTTATATATACATACATACATACATATATATATATATATATATATATAGTGCTCCACGTCTTGGCTCATTGGTGTGGCCTCTGGCATAAGTCCCTCGGGTCGGGGATTCGAGTTCCGTGGTGCAGGCTCTTCGGATTAATTAAAGCACACCTGAGTTCGACCCAAATGGGAGAAGTGTTATTTGTGACCCACCGAACCAAATATAGATTCCCTTTATATATATATATATATATTCTTTATCTAAAGTAATACACATTTAATTTGTTCCTAACATAAGAAGTCCCATATATCAATTTTACTTTCTAAAAAAAATCATATTTATATAATATATGTAATGAATTTGTGCCCCATACTAATCATGAACCCACATAATGAAAAAATAAATATTAAATAAAAATTCTAAAGGAAAATAAAACGTTTGCATGGAAATAATAATAATAATAATATATACCTTACTTCTGGCACAAACATACGTGAATGCTCCATGGCTGGCAAGATCATAAGCTATCTCCATCCCCGAATTCCCACACCCAACAACCAGAACTCTCATGCCTTTATACCTATCCCCACTCTTATAATCCGCAGAGTGCACCACCTCTCCTTCGAACCCTCCCATTCCTTCAAACTCCGGCACGTGTGGCGCGCCGTTCTCACCCGTGGCAACCACCACATATCCTCCCACGTATTCTCTCTCCTCCCCATTCACCCTCCTCACCCTCACCCCCCACTCCCCTTCCCCCTCCCTATAAACCGCAGACTCCACAAAACACCCGAACTCCGGCCGGACGTCGAACCTGGCCGCGTAGTCGTCCAGATACTCAATGAACCTGTCCTTGGGAATGTACGTGGGGGTGCCGGCGGGGTACGGCATGTGGGGGAGCTGGCAAAAGCGTTTGGCGAGGTGGAGCTTAAGGCGATTATAAGCGCGGCGGCGCCACAAGGAAGCGATGCAGCTGTCGCGTTCGAGGATTACGTATGGGATGGAGAGGACGGAGAGGCAGGCGGCGGTGGAGAGGCCGGCCGGGCCGGCGCCGATTATTATGACGGGGTGGTGGGACCCACCCGCGGAGTACTTTCGGGTTATCTTCCCCACCATTGCTATTTATGGGGGAAGGAGAGATCCTCGATTGAGGGAAATATGAGTGGATTTATGGGAGGGACGATTGTTATTAATAGGAAAAAGGAACGTTTTTTAGGGGGAGGGATTTGAATTCTTTGTGTGTGGTTGTAATTGATTTGGGCTGAACTGACGGTTGTAATGGGTTCAAAATCGTTTGAATTTATGTGCCTTATTTGGTTTTTATGTATTTACATATATAGCATCTAGATTTTAATTTTAGAGAGGCAGGCTTCTTTATATGTGGAAAGTATTCATTTTGTTTCTTAAAAGTTGAAATAGAGGATTGAAGTTGAAGGGTTAGGGATGTAAATACATGGGAGTTGGGTGGCATGTGCGCAAATGACATGTAAGTACTAGAGAAGGGTGAGGGTTCATGGCTTTTGTAGATGATAGATTGGGAAGAAGCTCACATAAAGGTGGGAGTTGGATAAATTCTTGGTGGAACATAAATCATTGTAAGCAAATTTGTATTCTTGTGTTTATGGAGTATTTGGTATAGTATATATTATGATGAACATGAGCGAATCTTTTTGCCTTTTTTTTTTATATATTTTCAATCTTGAGATACATTAAGATTTGTTCAACAATTAAGGTTATCTGGTATTGTTGCATGTTGGAAAATTTGTGGTGGTGTGGTAATAAATTAATGTCTCGGCGTAGTACAAAATCTTGTACATAGATGAAAAAAAAATAACAGGAGAAGACGTCAAGAATTTTTACGTTGAAAAATATGAACTCTTATCCCACACCGGAAAAGGGTTGCAAAGTTTTTTAAAGCATAATGTACATATGGAATGGTTCACTATACAATGGTCGGGAGCAACTGCTACTGAGGGTTATTGTTGAAACCTTGGCACACTGCCTTCGGATTATGTGATCGCACGACATACTTCATAGGTTGCTTTTGTTACTGTAACATAAGTCGTTACTCCACACAATACTTCGTTCCTTTGCAATATATGTTGTTACTCCGCAAGGTGCTTCGTGACGACGCGAGTCATTACTCCATAAGGTCCACCAATGGAGAAAAATAGGGGGCAGCCGACGATGGTCAACAATGGCTGACAGGCGGTGGTTAACGGTGGTCAGTGGCTATGAAGGCAGGAAGTGTTAGTCAGGTCTTCAGTCCAAAATACCTCTGGAATTCGACTCCTTTTTCTGGTCTAGGCCTAGGTCCTCCGTCATGAAAAGACTAGGGATCTATTTATGATTTGAGAAGTGGCATTGTTGTTGTTTTATGGATATTTAGGCTCCTAAATGGAGTAATCTTATGTTCATTTGGTTGTTCTCATCGAGATAGTCGATTTGACTATAAGCTTATTAGATTTGAAATTCATTTAATCTTCCAATTAGATACCAAAAAACTTCAAAAGTGTTTAACGACTTGATTTGGGTCTGATTTGACTCGCATTGGATCAATTTTGGTGTCATTAGATTTGTCTCGTCGACTTGGTTAGTTTTACTATAGGTTTTTAATTCAAATTGAAACATTTTAAGCTCCAAAAATGCAAAAAGACTTGTGTCAAGCATCTCAAAATTTGTGTGAAATAATAAATTTTGTTGGGTAACACATCATTGTACCCTCTATTTTTGAGGGATTTTGTTTCTATAGTCTAAAATTAATCAAAATAATAAAACTAGAACAAAAATCTAAGAAAATTAAAGTTTTTCAAGCAGGAGGCGGCGGTGAATGGTGGCTGCGAGAGTGTCCATCAAGGAGAAGCGGTGTGTGTGTGTGTGTGGACTAAAAATGGGTCGGTTCAAGCTAAAAATTAAGGGTGGTGGAGCGAGCTCGACCTTTGTCGGCCTTGCGGGGTGATCGTACAAGGTGGTCGGGTAGTGTCTGCAATCCAGGCTGCGTGATTGTGTGGTGTCCCACATTGATCGCATTAATCACATGACCCAAAATTGCGAGTGTTGCGGGTTTCACCTTGATCACACCATTATGTTGTCGGATTATGGGAAATTGGATGGCTTGTGAAGGTTGTTGCGAGCTAGTTTAGAGTTGGGTTATTATTTAGGAGTTTTTCTTGGTACTTTAACCTATAGATGAGCCTAAAAGAGATGGGAGAAGGCGCACTTCTTCCCTTAGTTGTCTGGAGCCACTTGAACAACTATTATGCCTCCTTTTGAGCAATTGATGCACTCACCTTGATTTTCTTTGGCCTGTTTTTGTGCCACCTATGCGTCGGTGTAGCGAGATCCCCAAAGTCCCTTTTTGTATTGTTGTTGCATTTTTGGGAGAAGATTTTTCATGCTTTAAAATGTTAATGTCTAAAGAATACAGTCTCTATAAAATTAGAGGAAGCATTAGAATCTTGTGGATGCGATATCACATTTACATAGGGTGATTGATATTATTACCAAAGAAATTTTACTTCCCATATGATATGGTGGTGAAACTACCATTTTAAACTAATCGAGCTACTCTTCTCCTCCATGATATGTTTTCATTTATGAGGCAACTTTACGAGCCACCCCGTGATTTCAGCGACGATCGAGTTGATGGGAAATCTAAAAGTTGTCGTGCTTAGCATTTCACAATTCTCTTGTCAGACGAAGATAATTGTTATCAAGTTGATTGCATTTTTTATAATACATGAGTTTAAGTTATTGTAATCAGAATAACACAACAATGACATCTCAATAAAACCAAATACCCACCCAGTTAGAACCGTAACAATGCAATTCTAGTAAACCAAAATAACAAAGCAAGAATACCACAAAAATCATGAGAATAACATTGAAATAACACCTAAATAAGACCACAATAACAAAAGAATAACTCCAAAATAACATAGTAATAACACTACATTAACATCAAAATCCCATTGAAATAACACTGTTGTATTTTAATATTTTTGGGTGTTGGTTTGGGGCTATTTTGATGTTATTTTATCATTTTTTTTGTAGTATCTTAGTGTTATTGTGATGTTGCTATAGTGTTATTGTGGTGTTATTGTAGTGTAATTTGTGTATCGTTATGTTTTCATTTTCAAATAACTCTAGATCATATGAGCAATGCATAAATATTTTTATAGGATGCAATGCTTTTCTCAATTACCCTAAAAATTATTATGTAAGTACAAACACAAAGTTACATGGATGACTTTTGATGACTCTCGATTGCTTTGGTTTCCTTGTGTTCTTTCAATGTTGTGTATTAGCTTGCTTTGAAAGATTCAGAGAAGTACATGAGTTCGCACCCAATGACCCTAGATCCTCTTGAAAAGTAAACATTATAAATAATCTAAACCTTACGAGACTTACATGGCAATAAAGTAGGTGATGCAACGTGTACTTTCAATGTTGTATTAGCTTGCTTTAGGTGTATTGTTGAGGTGTTATTGTCGTATTATTTAGGTGTTAATGATGTTTTATTGCTTTGTTACTAAGGCGTGGCTTTAGTGGTTTTGCGGTGCCAACGACAATATTATTGAGGTGACACATGAGTTATTATGAGAGTGTATCCTAGGTGTTAATGAGTTCTTATAGAGGTGGATGTATTAATGTATTATTTTTGTATTTTTTAAGTGTATTCTCGTGGTGTTATTGTTGTATTTAGGTGTTATTAAGGTTTTGTTTCTTTTTTACTGTAGTGTTATTAAAATATTTTTTTGAGATGTTTATTTGTATCGCGTTGGCGTTATTGAGGTCTTATTTGGTGGTTACTAAGATAATATTGTTGTGGTTTTACCTGTTTTTGAGGTGAATGTAGTATTGTTATTGCGGAAGTACTTCAGTATTTGCAGTGTTATCAAGGTTACTAAGGTTAAATTGGCATAATTTTGTGTTAATTATATTACGGGATTATTGTGGTGTTATTTTCGTGTTATACCGGTGTTATTGCGGTATTGTTGAAGTGTGGTACCGCAATGTTATTGTCTTATTATTGCGGTTGTACTTCAGTCATTATTTTTGACGTATTATTGTGTTTTTCGTGGTTGTATTGTCATATTATGACAGTGTTAATTTTGTGTTATCCCAGTGTTATTTCGGTGTTATCGAAGTGGTACCGCGAAGTTATTAGCATAGTATTGCTCCAGTTATTATTGGCATATTATTGTTGCAATTTTGCTTCATTTTGAGCTAAAATCATATTTTTAAGCTGGTGTTATTGACATATTATTGCTGATGTAACTCGGCCAACATTTTGTTGTGGTGTAGATATGATGTTTTTATGATTATTATGTGATATTACTCTTGTATTATTGTAGTGTTGTTGAAACTTTTATTGAAGTGGTTGTATTTTGGTTTTAATAAGGAGATAGAGCTGACATGTAACATGGATGACTTATGACGACTCTCAAACTCTTTGATTTCCTTTGTTCTTTCATTTTTGTGTATGAGCTTGATTCAAAATATAAAGAAAATTACATGAGTTCGCACCCAAAAACCCTAAATCCTCGTGTAAGAGCTTGTTTGGAAAAAAAAAACCTAGACATCAAAACTTACCGGCAATAAAGCAGGATTTCGAGCGTTCTAGATGAGCAAACAAAAGTCTGAAGTATTTCAAACGAACAATTCCTCAGCTACCGAAGTCAAGCAATGCGAAACCCTAACCAATAATAAAGAAAATAAGGATTGAAGAGGCTGACAAAAGTAATTTTGAGCTGATTCGTGTTTGGTCACATGACAAAAATGGATTCTTTTGCACGTCTGGTCACGCATTAAAATAGAATCCTTTTGATTTTTATTTGATGGACATATTTCCCTCGCCCGAGCTCTCGTCGCGTCCCTCCTACCCAGTCCTCCTGCCAGCCATTCATATGCCTCATCCGTTCTTCGGCTCCATCTCCTGTGGTCAGATTTCGAGTGCACCCCCGGTTTTCTATACCCGTGGGGCTGCCTTTTTCCGCCATGGCAGCCTTCATCGTCGGAGAAGTATTTGTGCCGAGACTTCCGATGGAATGGGCGCTCCCGACGCCGGTGAAAGCATCTTAGAAGGCAGCGCTCATGGAGAAAGGAGCCAATCTTCGTCGGAGGCTGCATCGCGCGTTCCCTCTCTTCTAGCTTCTTCGGCTCCAGTAATCGAGAAGGATATTAAGAAGGTGATTATTTCTAATAACCCCCCTTCCACTGTTGAAAAGGATGTCATGTTTTACGAGGGATTGAATTTTTATGGTGTAGCCTTTGCCGATGCCTTTCAAGTATTTATTATTATTTATTTTTTGGCTAAGGACAATCATATCATCTATTTTATTCTAACTATTTAGGGTTTGCTGTACAAACACTACTCAATTGATTCATGCTTAGTGCTATAGTAGGGATTAAGGCCTTTATAGTAGCTTATGAAGGAAATAGACGATGCAAGATGTTATACTATGAGCTGAACTCGTTTGTGGCTTCATGGCCATAGGAACGCACTTTTGAATCCATTTCTTTCATCTCTTAGAATTAGTTGAGAATTTTTTTCATACTAGTCAGCAGTATATAACTTATGAAATGAAACGTAAGTATATTATGTGCAATTATTTTTGTTGAACTTATAGCCATGTTATAGATGGTTATTCACCTTCCTTCATAAAGCCTTAGAGAAATTTATCGACGTGCTTTAATATTTTAAGGGAATTGTAATCTTGGCATTGAAAGAAGAGAGAGAGAGAGAAGAGTTGCAGGAGAGACGAAGCACAGGAAAAGGGGAAAATGAAATATCTTTTTGAATACTAAATCGATACTACCATACAAGTGTTTATATAAAACTATTAAGACTAAAACAGAGGAATTAAAGACTAAAGAAAAATAATTAAACTATAAGCTGTGGACCCCATATGAACTAGCTTCATTCAGACTCTTTATCAGTCCCCCACAAACTAATAATATCTGAAAGAGATATTGTTAGTTTGTTCCTGAGTTTGTAAAACCTTGGAGTTGGGAGTGCTTTAGTAAGTATATCCACTGTTTGCTCTTCCAATGTTAGGTACTGTAGTGTAATTTCATTAGACTTGATATGATCCCTAATGAAATGAAAGTCTATTTTAATATGTTTGTTTCTTGCATGGAAGACAGGCTTCTTGGCTATTTCCATGCTTGACATGTTGTCATGGTGAATTGGTGTAGGTTCGGGGCGTGGAACATGAAAATTCTATAGAAGTCTTCTCAGCCTAATAACATATGTCACAACTAAAGATATAGCTCGGTATTTAGCTTTTGCTGAGGATCTAGTGTCAGTTGGTTGATTTTTCACATTCCAAGAGAGAATGTTAGGATCTATGAAGATGCAATACCCAATAATAGATCTTCTATCACACACAGCACTAGCCTAACTTGTATCAACATATGTGTGAAGAGTAAGAGAGCCAGCTTTGTAGGGTATACCCGAGTCAGATGTACTTTGAAGATATCTTAAGAGACGCTTAAGATTTTGGTAATGTGACTGAAGCAGTTTCTGAACATTCTGAACATTCTGAACATTCTGAGAGAGTGAATTAATAACAAGCATAATGTCTGATCTACTCAAGGCAAGGTACTGTAGTAACCCAACAAGATGCTTATATAGGGATGGATTAGGAAAGAGTTTTGTGGGGTTGGTTGGAGACTTGGTAGAAATAGTTTGTGGTTTAGGTACATATTTACACACTTTCAATCTAGTCCTGCCTAGTATTCCTTTGACAGAGCTAGTTTGATTGAGGTGATAACCATACGTGGTATGTGTAATGTTGAATCCAAGGAAAGTAGATACCGAATAAAAAAATTTAATGAAAAAGTTATGTTGTAATTCTTGTTGAAGTTGCTGCATCATATCAATGTTATTTTCAGTTAAAAGTATATCGTCTACATAAAGTAGAAAACAAAATATATGAGAATTATGGTTATAGATGTAAAGGGGTGGATTATATATACCAGTTTTGAACCAAATTCGAGTGGATGAGTTGTGAAAGTATGATTCCAGTGTCTTGGAGCCTGTTTGAGGCTATAAATAGATTTCTGTAATAGACATACATAAGATGAATATGTGGGATCTTTGTAATTAGGGGGTTGATGCATATAAATAGTTTCTTCAATACGGCTATGTAAAAACACATTAGATAAATCCATTTGGAAGACTTTCCACTTATAATGAAGAGTGATGATATGTAATAGACGTATGGTTGGAATTTTTGCCATGGGACTAAAAGTATCTGTATAGTTAACTTTATACTCTTGTTGATATCCCAATGCCACTACTTGAGCTTTTTATCTGGCAACGGATTCATCTGCATTACATTTGATTTTGTATATCCACTTGCTTCTAACTACGGGTTGATCGACAAGAGGTACAATCTTCTAAGTGTTTTGTTTTTGCAAGGCATGAAATTCTTCCTCCATAGCGTGCTGCCAATGATTATATTTAGTTGCTTACTTGTAAGTTGCTAGTTCTTCGCATGGAGATTGAACATGTAATAGGTCAAGTATGGTCTTCTTGGTTAGAGATCCTGTTTCAGAACGAGTGACCATTTTATGTTTCGGTGGAGGAGGTTTGATAGGTAGACAATTACAATTGGTGATGTCTTCTGGAGAAGAACTGAAAGATAAGGGATTTTCAGTCTGAGGTAAATGTGGGAGGTCTATTTGGGTTGTAGTGTTAGAGGAATGAATAAGAGTTGAATTACTTATGCTTGTATGTATAGTGGAGGTAGGTATAAGGGTAAGTGAACCAGTGTGTGCCTTGATGACTGCCACTAGATGATTCAAACATCTACAAGGAAATATGAATTCGTTGAAAGTATCATGTCGGGATATGATCATCTTACTAGTAGTAGGATCGAAGCATTTATAACCTTTGGAGTTGGATGAATATCCTAGAAACACACATGATAAGGATCTTGGCTTAAGTTTGGTTCTATGGATGAATGATAACCAAGGAAAGCATCGACATCCATATGATTTTAAATGATCATAGTTGGGTGCAGTTCCATAGAGAAGCTAATAAGGTGATAGGTGTTCGGATACTTTGGATGGTAAGTGGTTCCATAGAGAAGCTAATAAGGTGATAGGTGTTCAGATACTTTGGATGGTAAGTGGTTGATCAAATATATGGCTGTAAGCATCGTTTCGAGCCAAAGAGAAGGAGGAACATTTGAATTTGCCATTAAGGCCCGAGTGGTTTCCAATATATGTCGATGCTTTCGTTTAGCAACTCCATTTTGCGGTGGAGTATAAGGGCATCTCAATTGTTGAATAATGTGATACGTATTGAGTAAACTTTTAAGTTGATGGCTAGTGTATTCTTCACCATTGTCTGTCCTTAGAACCTTTATTGTTTGATTGAACTGGAGCTCAACTTCTTGTTTGAACTTGATAAAATTATTAATGACTTCAGATTTGTTAATCATAGGATAAAGCCAAATATACCTTGTAAAATCATTGATGAAGAGGACATAATATTTGTAACCTTGTGCAAAAATTCTGAGAAAAGGTCCCCATGCATCAGTATGAATTAAAGATAAAGGATTGCATTGTGTGCTGGTAGAATTATTGAATGAACTACTTCGATATTTAGCAGTAACACATGAAGTGCAAAAGGGAAAATTATTAGAAATTTGAAATGTGGTTGTTGAGCTGAACTATTTGTTGATGCGCATGTCCAGTTCTCTGATGCCACTGGTTTAAGGAAGTGGTCACTGATACAAGAGCTTGAGAATTATTTTGAATGTGATATTGTCCATTACCTTAGGACCTTGAAGAAGCTGTTGAGTCGTACGATCTTTTATTTGATAGTCATTAGATAAAAAATGATCATACAATTATTATCAAGTGTAAACTGAGAGATTGATATCAAATTATGAGATATTTGGGGAGTTCGGAGCAACTTGGAGAGAAATAGCTTACGATTTGGAGTTGGTAGGATGTTGGTTCCAGAGTGTTTGATGGGTGGAGTGTGTTCGTTGCCAACCAACACAATCTCAGTTCCTTGGTATAATTCTGGTTGACGTACCTGATGGTAATCAGCCGTTAAGTGTGATGTTGCTCCAGTATCAAGATACCAATCCGAGTGGTTGGACAGAGTAGAGGAAGTAATATAAGCAGCATGAGAATTTGTTAGTTTAGAGGTAAAGGTGTTCTTAGGTTGATAGTTAAGATTCAATCGGTGCCAAAAATTAGAGGCAATATATCCTGTTTTGTTACATATCTGACAGGAGACCGATCCTTGAGCTTTATGTTGATTATTTGGAAAATATGTAGTTCGTTTTGATTTAGTATTTTTGTTGTTACCTTTTGCCCTTGTAGTATTTGCTCTTACCTATGTATGAATATAATGCCATCTGCGGATCAGGATCAAGATTTGCTGGCATGCATTAGTTGAAATATTTATTTCTTTACTGATTAAGAGAGCATATAATTCTTCAAGTCTTTTGGGAGTTGATTTTGTTTTTATGACTGTCTTGAAATCTAGATAAGATGCAGGAAAACCTTTCAAGATATAGAGGATAACATTTTCAGTATCTACCTTAGAACCTGCAACAGATATGTTATCATCAATTCCCTTGATTTGCGTCAGAAGTTGTGACATATGGAGATTTTGCATCGACTCATTATTTAGTTCATTCTTTAATTGTATGACGTGAGATCTATTAATGGCTTGCATGCGCTTCTCCAAAGCAGTTCAGATTTCATGGCAACTTTCCAAATTCAAAACGTAGGGCAGAATAGATGCAGAAATGGTGGAATATAGTGCTGCTGCTAAGTTCTGATCTATAAGCATCCAGCTAGTACATACGAGATTTACTGATGATATACCTGATTCATTGGTAACCATGGGAGGTGGAAGTGAAATGGTGCCATTAAGAAAACCCAAGAATCCATTAGCTTTGGTAATCTTGATCATTTGGGACCTCCAGATTTGATAGTTGTCTGCTGATAGGGCATTCATGATCATCGATTTCACCTTTGACATGAGAAATTTAAGGGAGAGAGGGATGGGGCTTCGAAGATTCTCAGGTTTACCAACCTTTCTAGGATATTGGAGGTGTCGGAGTCATCCATAGATGCGAGGCTTTATTATAATTCAATACCATGAAAGAAGAGTGAGAGAGAAGAGTTGCGGGAGAGATGAAGCATAGGAAAAGGG